CCATTCGCAATAAGGGAGACCAGAGACAATAGTAAAAGATTTTGATCAGCCGTTCTATATAAGTCTAACGACAAGAACTAACTATAAACATTGCGACGAGTGTACCTAGTGCTCAAGAATACGATCAGTTTTACTGACTGTCAATAAAAAATCACCTGATTTATAAAAGTAGAATTTCTGATCACAAACCACGGCTTTTTTTGTTTTTCGGTCTGTTCAGAAGTCGCTTGAGGCAATTCGTCACGAAAACTATCGTGTTCTTTCCCAGGGCTGAGGCCAACATAGTCTGCAATTGAAGCTATTTTCTTCATCTGTAATGTGTAAAAATGAGGCTTGCAGTTCAGCAGAACTGTTTTCCCAATTACAACTAACAATTTTCACTTACTTGCAATATCTGGTTTTATCTTCCCTTTTTAGTTACAAGTAAAAGCAGACCTGAATTAGAATTAACGTAAAGAGGCTGATGTCCGCCAGAAGAAAAGGTCAGTTCTGCGTCAGACCTACCACAACTGACCCCGTTGTTACAAAGTCCAAAAGAAACTTCATTAAACCCTCAAAAATTACATGCTTCATCTTAAACACAAAAAAAACACCTCATGAGGCTTTTACAAGGAGGAAAAATACTAAGCTACAAAACTTAAAACAAAAAATAATAAAAGTATCGGAACTAACGCTTTACAGCAGACCGTTTTTTCAAATTTCAAGCAGTGCTAAAGCGATAATCGGGAAAATCCTACCAGTGCTATCCGGACTGTTCAAGTGCACCAGAGGATCCAGTATTTTCGATGCATGGTATGCGGTAAGCTCTTCAGAAGCTTCAGTTCCCAATTCAGTATACTCTAAAATTAACCCATGAAACGAGCAGTTTGCTTAAGAAAACCTGAGGAATAAGAGATGAGAGATATGTTGGCAGCGCATAATAATAAAAAAGGAAACAGAAATAGCTTGTAAATCCTTTAATTAATTTTCAACCAAAAAATATTATGTAACAAAATTTCTGACAAAACAAGGAGTGTACAAAAGACCAATCGGTCTCCAACATGTGTAACACCGCAATATATCACCGTTCTCATCCAATCCTTTCCTTTCCATTAACTCGCTATCAAGATCCGAAGTATCAAAAGCAGGTGGGATATGACATCTAAATTGCCAGTTACTAAGAAGCATAAAAACTCCATTTAAAAACGAAAAAAGCTAATCTACACAAACTATGGTTTCCATCAAAAATTCAATGTGAAATAATGAGTTTGCAACCTCTTTTTACTATAGATTATAAGAAACATACCTGTAAAAAACAGCTAATTTCTCGCTTGGATCCCCTTTTAAAATTGATCCATAGAAGCAAGCAACATCTCGAAAAGTAAGCAGACCACAATCGTTTGTGTCCAACATCTAAAATAATTCCTCATTTTAGTCTTTTCAGTAAGCCTAGGCAAAGACATACAGAGTTTGTCTCGACCGGGAAAAGTTCCAGAAACTTCAACGGAGAGTAACATATACCCTAAAAACTCTGACGACGAAAAGTCTGTTTGTGTTCCAAGGAAGAAGCTTCGGAAAAAAGTGTGAAAAAAGCTCGAAATCTATCTTATACTGCGAGTGATTGCACGGATCAAGGGAGCAACGCTCCGGTAAAGCTGCTGCTCCTCTCGGATAAGAATAGGGGTAGCGGTTTCTCCACACCAAATGTTCTTCCTAAAAAAGTTCAATAAAACAACAATAACATTGCCAATAAGATGCTGTAATAAATACAAAACCTTAATCAAATTATAAAGGGCTTCCAATTCTGAAGCATCCAGTCTACAGGCACTTCCCACACTTCTTATAACACTTTTCATCTGATTGTCTTCTAAACTCTAAAAAAAAAGCAAGTTATTTGTATCATCTTTGGAAAATCGCTTTCATAAAGAAAAGAATTAAGAACTTTCAAGGAACATAAACAGTAGCTAATTAGAGCAATAACTGTAAAAATTTTGGAAGACGGAAAATGAAGAGGTTTGACAGTCAACCTTAAAAACAATCCTTATTGACTGAAAATATAAAAAAAGTGGGAAATCGCGACAAACGAAGAGACGGCGGCAAATGTTAAAGCAAAATCAGGCGTAACTTCACGAGTTACCCGACTATTTTCTGCCAACTAGAAGAGCAAATAAAATTGAATCTATTAATGAAGCTGATTTCAGGCAACAAGAGCAGTTTACAACCTACAGTAAAGCAGCGTGAGAAGAGTGCAGAAGCAGACGAATAAAAAAGAAGGCGAATATTTGCTAAACGTACCTGAACTACCTTCAACCGGTGCTTCAACCGTAACCTTTCAATCAGTTCATTGTCAAAAAAGTGTCCAAAATTCTCGTAGGAGTTTGCTATCAGATGACCAACATACACCTAAAAAATCACCAATGAGGAAAAAAAAAATTTCTGGCTCGGCCGTGCTCTTGAGAACCAGTCTTTAAAATAAGCTCATAATAACAGATTTTTGCTGTTATTTCCTTACAACGCAAAAGGCAATCCCCTAAAGCCTAATTTTTGCTGTCAAAACATTAAACGAAAGAAGCATCATAAAAATTTTGACATAAATAGATAAATGTAAACTATGGCGAGAAAAGGTGATCTCTTAAATTACAGTGACTGAGATCCTATTCAAATCTGAAACTCATCAATATAAAAACGGTAGTATAACTGAACCACTAGTAAAATTTGAAAAAACAAGACAATGCCAAAAAGTAAATGTGTCTTACTTAATGTACACATTGAAAGAAATCAAAACACAGTGAGAAGAAAAGAGAAACACCTCATCCTTCTCGAAATTTTGCTCAACATCTGTAAGCCGATTTGTGTACTCGGTTAAAACAACCAACGCCTCTCCATCGTCACCTGCATCCAAGATCTTTTCTTTATTCTCTTTTAGAATTTGCAACGCCACTTGAAACAACAACTGAAGTTTATAGCATGTTAACGGTCCTGATACTTTAAAGAAATAAAACCAATCCACAAAACTAGGCATAAGTTACAATCACCGCAGCAAAGTTATAAATATAAAGAAGACTTCATCAAGATAGCCTCACTTTTGAACCATCCCAGAAAAACAAGTCCATAATCCTGATAGCCGCCTCGAATTTAACAGCATTTAAAAACACAGTTAGGAACCAAGAAAGTGCAACCATATCATCAATTCCCAACCTTTTCAATTTTGAGTGGACTTCTGGCAGAGCTCGCTCAACTATTTCGCAAAAAACACCCAAAAAAAAAATCAAAATTAGTAATCAAATCGACCAGATAAAAAGAGTAACTAAGCTATCAGGCTAATATAAGAACTAGCCATTTGATATCAGAAAAATTAACGGTGAACATAATGGCCTAAAGGAAATAGAAAAAGCTAACTACAACTTAGAAAAATATCGTTTCCACAACTGACCTTGGTCCACTAAAGCACCGACAACTTTTGTATTGTAGTAGTCAGGAAGCAAACGTTCACAAATCGCAACAAGCAGCCAAAATGCTTTTTCTTCGCTATTAAACAAGAGTAGAACGCTTCCAACAATATTCATTGCCTGACAGTATCCTAAAAAATAAAAGTCATTTCTCTTCATAACTCATTCCACAGAAGGAAAACTTAGCAAAAAATTAAAAAAACTTCCTATAAAGTTACCTATGTTTGGATTTCTAAACGCATACGCAGTTAGAATTCGCCGTAGCGCATCAATACCGACTCTCTGCTGGAATGCCGGATGCTCCGGAAGTGAGCTAAAACCTTACTTAATTACAATAAACAGGACACTTCAGTAATACATACAACTGATATATTAAACCTTTAAATTTCTGCTTAACTGTAGGAGAACTAGATATAATCCTTCCAAATTAAATCCCAATAACCTTCAGCTGCTAATAATGAGTTAAAACCTACATGACAAAAAGACACAAAATATCAGTCAATACATCTAACAGTAAATCGTCTAGACAATCAAAATTGAATGTTGGGTCAAAAGCAAAACGGTTTATACCATCGAATAAAAAATCTTGGCGAATATTTTGCAACACCTAAAGGACACTAAACGTCTTTAAGAAATTGGAAAAAATTGAGTTTCGGAAGAATGTCGAACGGTAGAGGTTTATCTAATCGGCATAAAGATAGAAGACTGAAAAAAGCAAAGACATTTTCGCCTTAAAGCTTGCAAGGCGAAAACACTAGAAAAGACTACACGTCTCATCTTACACAACGCTAATTACAAACTACTAAACTTTTTCCCGTCACATGCGTCTTTACAGAATAGTGATCTTAAAAAAAACATATAAGCTCAATGCAGTAAAAAATCTAGTTTTCAATAATCTAAATCAGCGTTTTCTGAAATATTAACGTTTCGTTTCTCTTTTTTCCCCATCCCATGTGGAATACCAAAATGATTCTCTCCACCATAACTTTAACACTAAAATTCTTTTCGTAGTTCACCTGCTTTCGGAAAAAAACCTTGGCTCAACAGAAAAGTTTTCATTTCTTAACTACCTGACAGTAGTTCGCAAACCCTATAACTATTTTAAATAAAAAATTAGCCATTGTTTCAAAGTAAAGTAATCCAGTGTAATCCAACTAAAAACTGCTTGCAAAATACAATTACACTAAAACGAACTGTTTGCTAAAAAAAGCACTCTACTTCCTATTTCCATGCAAAAATCGTAAGAGAAAGTTGAAGAAAGAGCCGAGTATAATTGTCTTACCACAGTTCGTAATTTCGTGCATGCAACTTATAAAAGAATCTACACTGACAATGAGTGCAAAAAGCATGATTCTATTATTACCGATGAAGATCTCTTTCAATTTCCTCCAACGCTGTAATCGAACTGCCACTATTTGTTTTCAGTATTTGGGAATAATATCCCGGATTAAGTGCCATTTCCGCCTCAGCACCGGAACAGATCATCCACATATTGCTCCGATGTTTCAGCGGAATACCTTCCAAAAGCAGTCTAAAAATTTTTTTCTAAAACTACATTTATAGAGTTTGTAAAGTTATACATCTAACACTGACTGACAACAAGGTTAAATATAGCAAGAACCTCTCGGTTACCAGCGTTTCCAGCAAAACCTGTTAGCCACTTTAAAGTAATGTATATATACCTATGAAGATCAACCGTCCGGTACATAGATATGCCGTAACCGTATTCATCAAATAATAATCTCCATTTAGAGTCTAAACTGTTATCCGTTACGTAGTTCGATGGAAACATATCATTCAGCGGTTTGTCCAGAAGTTCTTTTTGGTTTAA